TTGTCCATTAAGTGTTTCTTGATTGGGCACTTAACTTGCTCATTCCTCTCTAAAGATGCTGACCAAATGCCTTACTAAGACCTACTTAAAATCAAACAGGTATACAGCCAATATTCATAACTTCAAGTACAAAAATGATACATTCCTCCTATTTGTATGCATGTATTCAGTTGATCCTAGCCTTGATATGTTACATGGCATGTGTAGCAAAAAACATATTCCGGTTTATTTATATATATATAATATTCATAAGCCTATTCCCATAAAGAATTATGGGGTGCAATGTCACACCCCCGTCCCTTTTCTCTTGCGTTTGTATTCCACTTGCTCTTTATTGTCAACCCCATGTGTTCAAAATTAATGAAATTTTAAAAAATAATGAATTTGGGGTTCTTATTAGCTGTCAGTTGTTTGAGCCATTAGGTCTCTCTCTTTTCAAGATTTCCTCCCTAACAATGGGAGCTAGAATTTTTTTTTTTTAATTAAAACTGAGAGTCTCCATAATCACAGAGCTGAAGATTTAAGAAAAGTATCAAATATCATGAGTCTTGTGACTAGATTTGTGTAAATACATGATTTGTTTTGGTTTGATGGCTGATGTTAAAAAAGGTGGTGGGGGGATAACCCAAAACAAATGTTTTTTAGAATTTTTCAGCAAACTGAAAAGTCATTTGAAAAATCAGGTTGAAGTGAATATTTATTAATATTATTTATTAAAATTAAACCGACAAATTTTGAAAGAAAGTTAATGGGAGCACAGGAGTAAGGAAAGAAAGGGAAGAGCGGCATTGAGGAGACAGAGAGAAGAGAGAAATGAGTGATGGAGAGGAGCCTGGAAGGTCGGGGGAGTAAGTCTGCAATTCAGGTTGTAACAAACAGCCCATAAACAGAGGGGAGAAATAAAGCGGGTTCTGATGACATCACCAGAGTCCAATGTTGCCTCCTTTCATTGCAGATGCTCTGGCTCTCCTGGCCCCTGTCAGAGATAAGGGTGGAGTCTCTGTACCCTTGAGAGCTTCTTCCTCCCCAAACCCTGATGGCTTGTGTGGGAGAGCGGTGTACATGGGACCATCTGCACTGGATGCAGGTGGTGCCCTAGAGGGGTTCCCTCTGCTTGGTTCTGAGTGATGGGGGATGAATAATTTTAACCAGAACAATCAAGAATATAATTTTTCTGAATGTACAATATTTAGTCATCCTGGGCCAAACCCAGCCTGTGGGGAAGCTGGTCCAACTCCACTGTAGGCAATCAATTTCTGAACTGAAAATCATAAACTTCCATTCAATAGGTTAATGGCCAAAACCCAGAGGCCAAATTCTGATTTTGTAGGGTTACCATATTAAAACATTTAAAAGAGGACACTCCACAGGGCCCCGGCCCCGCCCCCACTTTGTCCCTTCCCTGCCCCTGGCCCCACTCCAGCCCCACCCCTTCTTCTCCACTCCCATTCCAACCCCTTCCCTAAAGTCCCTGCCCCAACTCTGCCCCCTCCTCTGAGCACCCTGCATTCCTCCTCCTCCCTCCCACTCTGATCTTGGTTGGGGGTTGCTAAGTGCTTCCCTGCTCCCCACTCGCCCTGCAGCCCCTGCACTCCCCCCCCCCTGCAGCCTCTGTGCCCCTACCTGCCCTGCTCCTCCTCGCCCTGCAGCCTCTGCACCCCCCGCCTGCCCTGCCGCTGCACCCCCTGCCCCTGCAGCCTCTATGCCCCTGCCTGCCCTGCTCCTCCTCGCCCTGCAGCCTCTGCACTCCCCTGCTCACCTAGCAGAGGGAGA